TCGAGTTGCAACCAGAGTCACGGAACGGATTAAGTTCGTATCCCGAGGTACCACTGTATTTAGAAATGAGTGATTATCACCAATCTGGACAAACAGCTTCACTAGCCTCTTTGTCCTGTCTTTAAGTTTATTAGCTCCCTCTTGATTTCTGGGCTACGGTCAAGGTGCTGATCCTTAAAGTCCGTCATGGTTGGAACTCAGAGACATAAAAGAGTACCTTTGCCCATATATACCAGTTGTGACACAAATTGGCAAATCCTATGCAGCATCCTGTCTCTGTGGTGATTGCCATAGAGTAAAGCGCAGTAGCAGCTTGGCAGTTTTAATTACTATAACGACTTATCTCAATAGGCAGTCCTTTCTTTCATTTTGATTGAATTTCATTGGCTACTGTGCACTTGTTCTCTTACTGTTCCTGTTATTTCTAAGGTTGATTTGAAATGTATTTTATAATTTTATTTATGGTAACCTGTCTTGAGACTCAGTCATAAATCTGGAAAAAATCCAACTGTGCACTGTTATTCATCCGTGTAGTTAACTGTACATCTGCACATATACTGTACGTTAACTGTATCACCTTCAAATATCTAGGATTGTATTAAAAGATCATTACTATAAAACCAATTAGTCTCTGCATGAAATGGTGAAAAGATTCTGCCTAGTTTGAAACCAACAGTCATGTCATGTTTTGTTTGCCCTGTGTTCTGATGGAATAGAGAACATTCTGAGCATTTTGTATTTTAACAGAACAGAAACTCAAACTATTCTGAGTGTTCTACCACAGGGAATAGTGGAACATGAATGTTTCTTGCACTCTTGTTTTTCATTTTGAAGCTACGAAAATTGGGAGGTAGTAGTCCATGTTGAGCGTACCATTTGCTAACCTATAGAAAAATTGATGAATATAATAAGTTAATTTTGCCATAAGAAACAATGGACACAGTGCTGTAAGTATCCTTTTTTTGCAGCAAGCTGCCTTAATAACCATAGAGCTGAATCCCAATCTAGCAAAGATACACAGCAGTGAGTTCACTTAACCCAGCCTGTCATTAATAATGTAACAATTACAAAAATATACGTATCTTCTCTGATTATTGATTTGTGTCCTTTCTTCCTAATGCAGTCCACATGCACCTTTTTATATTTGCCTGTCTGCCTACATGCTCAAAGATACTTTCAAAACAATCTTGACACAGGGTGACAGCAGAGACACATCAGTATAGTTTATTTGTCAGCAGTTTAGAAAAGGCTTGCTATGTCATCTTTTAGAGTTATTTTTCAACTTCCTGGTTTAGCCTACAGCCCTGAGATCCCCAAGTGATCTTCCATCCGAGTATTAACCCTACTCAGCTTCCAAGGTTAGGCAGGTGCCACCAACTGCTGGGAATGTCAGATGCATTTGCTCTCTTCTAGTCATTTGTCTTCATAAAATAGGAAAAAAAGGTTTGTGAGAACTTGTGAGAAGGCTGAGAGAGAAAAACAGGATGATCTCTAGATATAAACACTCTACAGAAGGGAGAGTTCATTAGTGGCTTATTTAGGAAATGGCAGCTCAGTCCAGGTTGTGGAAAGCCCAGGACGAAGAGACGCAAAGTTTTCAAAGAGACCCCACCTTAATGAGCTGAGTAAGAAAGGAGGATGGGAGGTTCCTGCCAATAGTTTCCAAGATTCTGTACCATAGATTCTTACATTAAAACTCCTTAATGAAGTCTGTAATGATCTCAGTGCGTATCCAAGGCAAACGATTCAACATCACAGTAATCCAAGTCTATGCCCCAACCACTGATGTTGAAGAAGCTGAAGTTGACCTGTTCTATGAAGACCTACAGTGGGGCAAAAAAGTATTTAGTCAGCCACCAATTGTGCAAGTTCTCCCA